TTCTTCAGGGAATTAAGGCGCAGCGGCCATAGCTCTACCATCGGCCGGTCATTATGACTGTATTTTTTTAGGCTGGCAATAGGCCCAAATACGGCTATAATGACCGGCAGTTCTATTCGGATGAGGACAGTAGGCAGTTCTTACAGTATACAGCATTGAATCATGGTTGAATCTTTTTCGAGGCCATGTGATGGGCTGTGTGATCAGGGCAGCTGGGCATCACTGAGAGGACTTCGCGGATTTCTTTTTCTTTCTTTTCTTTCTTTTCTTTTTTTTCTTTTTTTTTCTTTTTTTTCTTTTTTTTCTTTTTTTTCTTTTTTTTCTTTTTTCTGGAAGAAGCGCAATGGCCCCTTCTATTCTGGGGGGCAGCAGTCCGGTTGCTTATCACCGGCAAGCATGCTTGTACATCCGGAGAAGGGCGAGATCATTCGAGAGAGGGGAACAGCCTTACCCTTGTGGGGGTAGCTGCAACAGGGGGTCCCGCCCCCCCAAACCATGGCCTTCCTCCAAGGACCACCCTGCTGGCCGGGAGGTTTACTACCGTCTTCCCCCGAACACAACGCACCGTCAATTTGGCTGTACCAGACCGAAAATATAGCTTGTACACGTCCAATTTCAGGGTGCGTTATGTTCGGGGGAAGACGGTAGCAGCACCCAGTCACGCAGCAGGGTGGCCCTCGGGGAGGCGGGGCGCGCGGAGAGGCCTCCCTTGCAGTTCCTCAGGCCGCCCATCAGACCTAGTGTCTCGAGGTAGTCACGCCGTTCAATCATCGCTCTCAATACATTTTGAACTTTGCAGTACATTTTGTAATGACCCGCCAAAACACAGACTGAGAACACTGCTGATTTCTGAGTTTTGCCGCTGGAATGTAATATGTATGCCTTGCTGAGATTCCCGCATTCCTCTAGGTTTTCTAAGCCTGTGTGTGTGCATGCCTGCTGGTCTGCGTGCTTGTCTGAGTGCTTGTCGGCCTGAATGTGTGTGTGACCCACAAGGGTAATTGTTCGTTTGGAGGCTCCGCAGGGACGGTACTTACCTGTGGCTGGGACTTTGAGGGTTGCAGCAGCAGGAAAAACACTCAAGTAGCGGGGGCAGGCCCATGACACTTAGAGCAGTGGGAAAAACACTCAAGTAGCAGGTAGGCCGGTACCACTCAAGTAGTGGTAGATGTGTCGGGTACTCGAGGCCAAGCAGAAGAAGACGAAAAAGTTGGCATTTTTAGAGGCCCAGTAGCGGTAGGCTAGAGGTAGGCCGGTACCAGTCCAAGTAGCCTGAGTCTAGGGCCTGTACGGACGATATCAGAGCCTGCAATGCTGTTTCCCTCCGAAAGGGAGGAGGTACCAGTTGCTTGGTGGCCGTGCGGCCTGGAAGTTCACTTCCCAAGAGGCAAGTAGGCCGCTATATCTTCTGGAGGAACGAGTATAGCTCCTCGTCATTTGCAGTGTGCAAGGTTGGGCGACATACTGCTTGAGCGAGCGCTGGACACAGAGCGCTGCCTGGGAGGACGACGAGGAGCTGGGCGCTCAGCCTGGCTATGGCGAGCAGCACAGGAAGAAGGGGGCGAAAGAGGAGAGGGGCGAGGTACCTACCTGGCTATGGTGGACGCCATCTTCATCACGTTGTTAGCTGCTGCATCTGGAAGGTCCAGTGGGGGTAGTGCCGCACCAAGGAAGCTTCGAGGCAGAGTCAGGCATGGCAGCCTGAACAATTGATTTCTAGCCGAGAGGGCCCTTTTATGTTGGGGTCTCATTTACGGGTCTGAATCGTAAAGAGCCTTTTAGAAAAGAGGAAAAGAAAAGAAAAGCGGAAGATACTCCTGCCATGTTTTTTCAACTTTTTGGTCTCTTCACACATTTGGTGAGTGGTGCGGCGATGGCCAGCGGCCCAAAAGGTAGGTCACGGATTCACATTTAGTCTCTCGCTGGAATGTAACAAATTTGTTGCAAGCCACTTGTCATTTCGAATTGCAAAACTCAAAATTCAAATGCTGTTTTCAATTGTGTTTTGTTAGCTATTTATTTACTGATTCTGAGCTGACGTGGCATACAGGCGTCCATGGATGTCAATTACGAGGGAGTGCCAGTGGACATGGCGTTCAATCCAGCGCTCTATATCGATGCTCTCCTTCACTGCAATGGAGGTAAGGATGATCCGTCTGCCACGGTTGTATTCATGGTGAAAACTTGTCTGCCGAGGTGGTGCAAAATTTGTCATTCTCCTAGGCTACCAGAGTGGCCCGGGACCATTTGCCCGGCCGGGCGGGAAAAAAAAAAAAAAAAAAAAGTTTTAAAAGTTGTTTTTTATTTTTTGGGGGGTAAAGAATTTTGATGCGACCCTGAGGCAAAAGTTGTTAGTTTATTTTTCAGCATAACATAGTTGTTTTTCAGATATTATCATTATTAATATCATATTTTGAATTATTTTCGTTTTTTTTTTTTTTTTTTTTTTTGGCTAGGACCTACTTTGGCCCTTGCGTGGCCGGGCTGCCTGGGCAAAAAAGGTCACCCATGTGATGGTGGATGGGTTAGTCTTTCTTGAAAAGGCAGGGTTTAAGAGATTAGTTGTTCCGGCTAGTGAGATTTTGCGTAGTTTGTTTTTAGGAGAATGTCATGATGCAATGGGACATTTTGGCTATAAGAAGACTAGTGCAAATCTGGTACAGCGATTTTGGTGGCCTGGTATGCTAGACGAAGCCAAGCAGTATGTCCAGACTTGTCAAGTCTGTCAGCGGGACAAGCCGCAACTCAAGCCCCGCTTAGGTTGCTCAAGCCCTTGTCCATTCCTGCTGGTCCGGGACAGAGTGTCTCCATGGATTTCATGGATACCCTCGTGGCCAGCAAGAGTGGCAAGAGGCATATCTTCGTCATAGTTGATAGGTTTACCAAGTACCCTAGACTGATTGCCATGCCGGAGACCGCAAGGACTGAACACGTCACCAAGTTATTTATGGATAACTAGGTGCGTGACTTTGGGCTACCAAAGACTATCGTTAGCGACAGAGATGTCCGTTTTACAAGTGAAATGTGGAAGAAGGCTGCAGAACAGATGGGCAGCCAGCTCCAGATGACTTCTGTGAATCATCCCGACGCCAACGGGCAAGCTGAACAGATGAACCGAGTGCTGCAGTATCTGCTGAGGCATTACGTTAAGCCCAGCCAAGATGACTGGGATGAGAATTTACCTCTCATCGCCATCGCCAGCCTGTACAACAATGCTGTGCACAGCACCCCTGGCGTCAGTCCGAATCAGCTGCACTTGGCGTGGAAGCTTAGATCTGCTTTAGACTTCCTCCTGCCTGAAAACCGATTTGCTGCAACTCCTGGGATCATAGAATTTGGAGTCCAGTTCCAGTATGAGAAGTTGCTGCAGCAAGTTTCGAAATCTCAGGAAGCAGTGATTGCTTCTGAGAACGAACATTGACGACAGTCCACATTTCAGGTAGGGGAGCGTGTCTGGGTTAAGTCTAGTGAGTTAGGACAGGAATTCAGCATCTCTAGGAAACTAATGCCTCAATATTTCGGTCCTTGGAAAGTCTTGGATATTGTGGGTGTTGAAGAGGACAGTCGCTCGTATGTGATTCGAATCCCTGGTCATTTGCGCACTTACCCTGTTTTTCACGCTTCAAAGCTTGCACCTTTCGCTGAGACACAGCAGTTCGCATCAAGGAGATCGATGCTGCCCCCCCAACCATGGACAACCACGTGGATGTCGACGACATTTTTTTTTGGGGAGCACAGAGACATGCCTGTTCCTAAGCCTGTGGGCAGAGGAAGACCACAGAAACCCAAGAGGGAGTACAGGGTCAGATTCAGGCATCGCACGGATCCAAAAGAAGACCGATGGTTCGCCAAAGAGGAACTAATTGAGACAGCACCTCAGGTTGTGGCAGATTATGAAAGAAGGTTGAAGGGGAAGGCACCTGCATAGAAGCATCTCAGCGGACTTTCGAAGCTAAGGGGGATGGAATGTGAGGAATGTGTCCTCAGGGGCCCCTAGACAACATGCATATGTTCTGACTGTGGCCCGTAGCAAGCCTCGTGCCCGGCCTAAGTGAAGGCGGGCCTGAATATTCACGAGAGGCCCTTATCTCAGCATTTTCCAATATGGGTCTCAGACAGTTGCTGCACGCCAGTTGGTTGAAATGCAACGTGGGCCTCACCCTGGGCTCTTCCAGAAGAAGCAGCTGCGTCAGGCAGTTGAGCCCAGGACACAGGTGGTTGCGCCCTGGGCACACGCAGCGTGAGGCCCACACATCAAGAAGTGGCTACAGGCCAATGAGAATGCAACATTGTCGTCACATCTGTCCCGCGGGCCAATGCGAGCACAGCAAACATCCGGAGCCTGGATAATCCTGGGTGTGCCCAACTGTAAGGGACCCAGGCCCTCAACTGTAGACATGGGCCTGGGCGCAGACACTGGGGCCGGACCGGAAGCTACTGGGAACTTCCACGGCCAGGCCCAGACAGTCCAGCAGCAGCAACCTCTCCCATACAGGGGAGGAGGCTGGCCGGTGGATGGCATTCTGGCCTGGGCAGGCAATGCGGACACGCTGCTGCGCTAGCACACAAGTGTCTGCATGCACATCTGCTGGCTGGGGCGCGCACGGGCGCTGCTGGGCAGCGGGGCGCTAGCTGCCATAGCTGGGCTGCAGGGCGCGAGGGCAGAGAAAGGCGACGATGGTCTTCAGGAGGAGTCGCGAGTGTGGGTGGACAGGGGATGATGAGGGGAGACGAGAGTACGTACCTGGTGTATGTGGGAGGTCGGCATTGGTGTTGACGTCATGTGCATTGGTCTTCAAAGTTGAACTGAACTTTTTGCATGAATGTAGGTAGGCTAGGTAGGACAAGTAGAGTAGACTGGGCGCTGGGCGCCGGACAAGAGGAGCGACATTGAATACTGCGTTGGTGTGGCGTGAGGGCTTGAACACTGGCTCACGAGTTCATTGTATTGCTCGTATTTTTTTTTTTTTTTTTTTTTTTTAATATTGCTCGTATTTGGATGGAATCTTGGTGCATTTGAGCTCTCTGCTTGTTACTTGACTATCTGGTCTTCTGCATGATATTTCAACTTGGTTTTCTGTATATCGCTCTCGCTCATATTCCTTGCAGTGGCAACTTCGGTGGGGACCAAAAATTCCGAGAAAAAAAAAAATCAAAACATTCTGTAAAAAAACCATGATGTCCAGAATTGCAATGTGGCCATCTCTTGGCTGAGGGTCACAACATAATTCCTTATAAAATCGGAAATAAAAAATTAAAAACAGATACCTCTCTCGGCCTTTTGGCTAAGATCAAGTGTAGTATCTGTTCTTCTGATCAGTTTAATATCTGATCTGTGGTCCATCGGGCCACACGCACGCGCACACACACACACACACACACACACACAAAAAACAACAACAACAACAACAACAACAACAACAACGACAACAACAACCAGAAAATCAAACCGAAATATGCCCCTTGGAAGTCAAAACCCCTTTCAACCCCCTTTAAAACCCTTGTATACCCCCCTGCTGCCCGCCCTTTCAAACCCATGTTCACTACCTCTACAAGGCACTCTGCCCATGGAACATTCAAATATAACACCTGGGGGTTCTATTTGTATATTGCAAGGAAGATGAGCATTAGCGAACTCCAGCAATCAAACAGCATCATAGATATGTGTCCAGATAGTCTTGACCTCGAACCAACAGCAGTCATGCATCACGAGATTCACCAAATCAGAACACACCAATAGTTCNATACTCAGAAACCAGCAGAATTCTAAGACTCATTCTGTGTGGGTCATTGCATTACTCTTTTTTTTTTTTTTTTTTTTTTTTAAGCGTGCAAGGAAGATGAGCATTAGCGAACTCCAGCAATCAAACAGCATCATACATATGTGTCCAGRTAGTCTTGACCTCGAACCAACAGCAGTCATGCATCACGAGATTCACCAAATCAGAACACACCAACAGTTCGTAATTGACAATGCTGAAAATAGTCTCTCATCATCATCAACGAAGAACAAGAGTTGATATCCTATTGGCGCTCGGCGCCCAGACTACTTGTGGCAGATCCTATCTGGCCTAATACTACAATGCCGATGTTGACAACAACAGCTTCCTGAAGTACGAGCATACAGCGGACAATGCCGCACGCTTCCAGCACCAGGTATGTCTCTCGCAACACTCACAACCCTGATCCACACCACACAGATGCCACTTGCACCCAAGGACCACCCTGCGTCACACCCAGCTCACAGCGGAGCAGCTCGGCTATGGCTGCCCGCTACTTCTTGCTCGCCCGTGAGAGCGTGAGTGCCAGCCAGCCAGCGAATAGCACAGCAGCGCTCGGGCAGCATGCAGCCAGCACCCGAATGCCGAATGAGGAGGTAGGCCCTTCCCTATATCGAAGTGGCCTGTCTGCGTCCAGTCCAGGAAGCTTCAAGTAGGCCCCGGTAGGCACAGGCCCAGACCTCACAGGCAGGCCCAGGGCCTGATGGTTGCATGTGCCCAACTGCCCTTGGCCTGCTTACGGCCTTTCCCCCGCGTCTGGCCCAGGTCACCGTTCAGATACATTTGCAAAATATGGCCTGGGCCTGGGGCCCTTCAACCAACTGACGCAGCGCAACTGTCTGAATTTCACCAGTTGCAGGGTACCCTGAATATCGAGGCCCTGAGGGCCTGTTGTGCCTGCCTTCACTTAGGGCGGCCGACATATTGCAAAAAAAAAAAAAAAAAAGGGCCCCGAAGGGGCTGAGCGGGCGTAGCCTCGCATTCCCTCCTCCATATCTTCGTTAGTCCTCTGAGAAGATCAATCCTGAGCCATCTGGCGCTTTCCTTTCAATGCATCCTTCTCATAGCGGGCAACGATTTGAGGAGCGGTCTGCATCATTTCCGTGAGTAAACCAGCGGTCCTCCTTCGGATCTGTGTGATGTCTGAAGTCGACACGAAACTGCAGCTTTGGCTTTGGAGGACGTCCCCTTCCCGGAGGCTTCTGAACAGGCATCTCCCTGTGGTCGACGATATCATCGATGTCGACTTCTCCGTCCATGGTTGGGGGCAGCATTGATCGACGAGAGGGAAACTGATCAGTTTCCTCGAACGCAGCGAGTTTAGAGGCGTGAAAGACTGGGTGAGTTCTGAGATGACCAGGGATATGGATGACATAAGATGGACCATCAGGATCTGTCCCTACTACGTCTAAAACTTCCCAAGGTCCAAAGTACTGAGGCATGAGTTTGCGGGATATCCCGAACTCCTGTCCCAGTTCTGAAGACTTGACCCAGACTCTGTCCCCAACCTGAAATGTAGAAGGGCGGTGGTGTTTATTCTCAGATTCTATCATTGCTTCCTGCGCCTTCTGCATGTGCTCTACAGCCTCCTGCATTTTTCGTAACGATAAGCGAACTCCAAAGTGCCCGGTGCAACAGTTGGCTGGTGATCAGGAAGTAGGAAGTCTAAAGGCAGTCTAGGCCTAAAGGTGAGATGTAGACTGTTAGGACTTACCCCGGTAGCGCTGTGTACAGCGTTATTGTACAGACTGGCGACAAGAGCAAGCTTCTCATCCCAGTCCACCTGATTGGGCTTAATGTAATGCCTCAACAGGTGTTGAACAGCGCGGTTCATCTGTTCAGCCTGGCCGTTCGCTTCTGGATGGTTTCCAGAAGTCATTTGCAGTTGAGTTCCCTGTTCAGCTGCAGCGGCCTTCCATAACTCACTTGTAAATCTGACATCACTGTCACTTACAACAGACTTAGGCAATCCAAAATCTCTCACCCAGTTCTCTTTGAACAGCTTAATCACGTACTCAGTCTTTGCTGTCTCAGGCATTGCTACCAACCTAGCAAATTTACTAAACCTATCCACGATAACAAAGATCTGTCTCATCCCACTCTTGCTGGTGACGAGCGTATCCATAAGTCCATGGACAGGCTCTCACCTGGCCTCTCCGGAATCGGAAGGGGCTTGATCAGCCCAAGAGGAGCCTGAGTACGGGGCTTGTCTCATTGGCAAACTTGACAAGTCTCCGCATACAACTTGGCATCTTTCAACATCGTGGGCCACCAAAACCTCTGCAGCAAATTGGCTGCGGTCTTTTTGAACCCAAAATGGCCGGTTCATGACACTCTCCTAAAAACAAACTACGCAAAGACTCTCTACTCGGAACACACAAACGTTTATTCCCGTGCTTCTCAAGGAACAGCAAGCCATTGACCAACTCAAACTCAGCTGAAGCCTTTTTGTCCTTCGCCTCGAGTCTGCGGATGATCTCTGACATAAACTGGTCCTCTCGATAGGCCTCCACCAATGATCGAGTCACGTCGTTATTTAACTCGAACTCAGTAATCAGCGCACCTGAGAAATCAGGTCTACGCGACAAGGCATCAGCCACCTTATTGTACTCCCCTTTTAAATAYTGGGGGTCGAAGTCATAYTGCTCAATGACCTCGATCCAACRYTTCAGGGYRTCGRAAAGTAYTGGYTGCGTTCTCATCYATCTCAGGGTCTGATGATCAGYCCTRAGGATGAAGAACYTCCCAAGGAGATAATGCCTCCAATGGGTTAGAGCMTTGTACACAGCGTAGAGTTCCTTCTCATAGGTGGACTTTGCCAATTTCTGAGACGGCATCTTCTTTGACATGTACTCGACTGGCCTCAACTTCGGCCCCTCCTGCTGCGCAAGCACGGCGCCAATGCCATATTGGCTGGCATCCGTGGTGACTATAAACGGCTTGTCAGGATCAGGAAGTTTCAGGACCTCGTAGTGCGTCACTGCATGCTTCAGATGTCTGAAAGCAGCCTCGCACTCATCTGTCCACTCCCACGGGGTGTCAAGGCGGGTCAGATCAGTCAAAGGAGCGGCCGCTATGCTATAGTTCTTTACAAAAGTCCGGTAGTAGCCTGTCATTCCTAAGAAAGATCTCATCTCAGTCACAGACTGAGGTCGTGGCCAATCACGAATGCTGGCCACCTTCGCGTCATCAGGTTTCAACCCTTCCACGGAGATCTCATGACCCAAGTACAAGAYACGGGTGCGGCCAAACTCGCACTTTTCACTGTTGATCTTGAACTTGTGCTGTCGCAGGAGACTGAGAACTTTGTCTAAGTGTGCTACGTGCTCCTCGACAGTCTTACTAAAAATAAGTATATCATCGAGGTACACGATGACAAACTTATCCAAGTAGTCATGGAATATCCGATTCATAGCGTGCTGAAAGGTGCCAGGAGCATTGCAAAGGCCGAAAGGCATCACCACAAACTTGTACAGACCGTACCTTGTCTGAAATGCGGTTTTGTGTTGATCCTCAGGCCGGATTGCAATCTGATGGTACCCGGACTTCAGATCTATCTTAGGCATTATATTCGAAGGGGCGTTCTATTTGAGAGAAAGACAGTAAAAATGAAAATACGAATTTTTTATTTTTAGGGTAAGTTGAATATATAATGCCCGGGCATTATTTTCGGGTGAAGACGGTAGTAGTAGTAGAAGGTACCAAGGTACCAAGTTAGGAGGCAGAGATAGATCGGCAGCTACACGGATACCCCCCCCTGAGGAAGGCTGCATCTGGCATCAGCCGAATCGCGGCGTCGGGGAGCCGCCAGACGCCTTGAGTCTGTGCTTATCGTTTCTTTGTCGGCAATCTCAAGGCACTTATTCGTGTTGAATTGCGTGACGCTGTGTCTCTGTGTTCATATTGTGGACTAACTCGCCACACGTATCGATGCTCGGCACGTTATCTGCATCGATAACTCTCATACTCATACTATGTGTACATTGCATAGTAGTATGCCAATAAAAAACTATATGATAAGGCCTAGCCGCACAACTCACCGAATGTGCAAAATGGATCGCATATCTTCCACGAGTATATACCAGCCATAGCTTTTGTCTTTTTCACATTTGGTGAGTGGTGTTGCGAGGCCCGTACAGACTCTGCAACAGGGCTGGGCCAGCAACCGGCCGGATCACCTGCCCCGGTCCAACCGGGGCCGGACCGGTCCAGGGGGGGTGAACCGGCAAAACTGGATGCCCCCAAA